GAGTAAAATTTTCGAAAATTTGAGGTTTTTCGCATTTTCTGGTCTTTTTCAGTATCTTAAACTTTTTGACCCCAAAACTCAATAAAATCAAAGTAAAAAGGTCATATTCGGACTCAGCGTGAAATTCCCTATCTGAATATGTGTATTAAAAGCGGAAATAAGATGTTGCTCCACCTTTGAATTAGCGGCGCCTTAGTTATAATCTTAGATTTTATGGTATTCGTGAAGATGAAGACGCAAAGAAACAAACTGTCAATATTGCAAGCGGAATGGATTTCAGCTTCAGATATCGAGTGGTTCACCGTCTTGGGGCTAAACATCGCGCGGTTATCGCTTGCTTTTATTCCAGGGAAGCGCGTTACGCCCTTTTGACATCCAGAAAGTTCATACAGCAATTACAAAGCAGAAATTTTTATATTTTTGACGATTTCACGGATCGCACAATGATTTTATACAATTCAGTACGATCTTAATTGAATGAAGCATCTAAGCATTTCGTTTATATCAGAAATGGTCGTGTTTTGTATAAAACAAGCTTAAATGAAAAACCTAAGCTAATTTCGAAAGAGCAAGATATTAATCTTGTTACTCAGTCGTTTTCATCCCAGCAAAAGCATCAACAATTAGCTGTTTGAATGCGAAATGTCACCACATGTTTTAAGTCATGGTATGTCAAAATCAGTTATCTTTTCTTTGTTTGTTCGTTTTCTGACTTTTACGTTTATTCTTCTTCCAGTCCAAGTTGTTCTTTATGTTTTCTTTTACCGTCGGCTGATGTCAAACCTTCGATGCTTTATATATGTCAGTGTGTATAGTTGAGGTTAGTATTCTTACTGTACATTCCACGTCATTACAGACCATGATAAAAATTCGTCTCTTTTCCTCTCTATTCGTTTGTGTCTATGCTTATGATCAAGATATACATCCTTCTTATCAGATCATTCTGACCGTTAGGAGCTATTCTTCGAGCTGCCATTTAGTAATTTTTTCTTTTTATTCAAAAAATGTCAAACAGAAATAATAGTACATGGATAAATGAAGATAATGATTGTTGTTTTTTAATTAGCGCACGTAGTATATGCGCTCATGCAGAAAAAACCGGCTCAGTAACAAAATTCGATTTAATTCAATTATTAACAAATAATGAAAATCCTCTTCTCATTTCTATAACTGAATCGTGGTTAAATGACAAAACCTTAGCATCCGATATCCAGATAAATAACTACAGATCTTTTAGACGAGATCGAGTTAGTTGTAGTGGTGGAGGTTGTCTTTTATATGTTAGAAACAATATTTCTATTAAGCGTTTAGACAACTTTGAAATTTCCGATTTTGAGGCGATGTTTTTCTCATTACTCGTTCCAAAAATTGGGCAAATTCTAATGGGCGTTTTCTACAGATCAGATTCAAGCATGGAAATCTTCAAAAACTTCTTGAGTTATTTCCAAGACACCATTATCAGAATAACGCGTTTGCAAAAATTTAATGGTATTTTAATTTTAGGAGATTTTAATGTGCACAATAAGCAATGGATAGCAAATTCAACCTCAAATACACCAGATTCTACGGTTGAGGGAGCTAAATTGCTAGCAGTTCTTGATGCGATGAATCTGAGTCATTTAGTTAGTGAGTCGACGAGGCCGTTATCTCAAACTTGTCTAGACTTATTTATAATTAACAATTTAAATATCATACAGTCGGTTGAAGTCCTAGGTCAGCTTTGTGGTAATTGTGACCATGCTACTGTTAAATTCTCCTTTAATAAGTCTTTATATAATCCATCACCACTTACAAAGCGCGTCATTTATAACTATAAAGCAGTTGACTGGAAATATTTTTGTTATTTGTTAAATCAACAGTTACAAACACATAATAGCGTTTTTTCTTCTGATATAAACGATGTTGATGTTAAATTTAACACACTATCCAGCTGCATACTAACAGCAGCAAGAAGATCTATTCCATCCAAGACAATTCTTTTGAGACAAAGAGATAAACCTTGGTTCACAGATAATCTCCGTTCTTTGTATGTCAAACGCAATCGTTTATATCACAAATATAAAAAAGCGTTTCGAGCAAACTGCTCTGCGAACTTAAAGTCTATAACTGAGTCTTATCGCTCATCAGCTAAGTTTTTTTCTGAAGCGTGTGAGAAGGAGAAACTAAAGTATTTTGAGCGCATAAATGAGATTGATGTTGGTAATAGAAGTTGGTGGAAATTATTGAAATGATCTATGGGTCGGAGAGTCAGCTCTAGTATACCAAGTCTAAAAAATAAACATTCCCAATGGATTAATGACAGCTATGGGAAAGCCGAGCTTCTGAATGAACATTTTGCGTCAGTTTGTACAATGTCACCAATTAATGACAACCTACCTTTTACGGCATTCTTAGAGACATCAAAAGAGACACTGGATCATATTACCATTTCCGAAATGGGGATTGAAAAAATTATAAATAATTTAAGTATTTCTAAAGCCTCTTCGGGTATTCTTACAACGCGGATGCTGCGAGAATCAAGCTTGTTTATTTCTGATGTTCTAAGAGATATTAACTGAGCTTTATAACTTGCAATATCAGGCTGCGTTAGCTGTAAGTGGAGCCTTGCAGTTGTCAAGTAAAGAAAAATTTTTGCAGTGTTTAGCTTGGTTACCATTAGGTAAATTCTTTCTTCAGCATAAATTGATTTTGTTTTATAAAATAATTAAAGGACTTGTTCCTCCATATTTATCCTCATGTTTACCAAGCAAGCTAAAACATCAGTATTGTACAAGATCTTAAAATAATCTAGACATACCTTCGATCCAGACTCATAGAGAAATATTCGATAAAAGCTTCTTTCCTTTTACTATCGCTAAATGGAAGGGGCTACAACACAACATAAAAGAATCCAAAACTTTAGCTATTTTTGTGAAATCTTTAAAAGTACATATGCAGCCGAACTCAACTGTTTATCGAGTATACAAAATTCCAAGAAAAACTGATATCATCTACTACCAAATAAGATCTGAATTTTCGCAGTTAAATGCTGACCTCTATCAAAAGCATTTATCTGATACTGATCGTTGCCAATGCGGCGAATTAGAAACACGACAACATTTTTATCTTCATCGTCCCTGTTATACTTTCTCTAGAAATCATTTATATAACAGTTTACGGTCCTTACTGAACGGCAATTCTCTTAATCTGGCTCTTCTCTCTCTTAATGTATCTCTTGAGAAGGACTCTTATAGACTTGTAGCCAGATCAGTGGTAGACTACCTAATTGCTACAAATCGTTTTAAATTTTTAAAGTAACCATCCAAATTTGTTGTGATCCCTACACTGTTGTTGCGCTTTCGCTTGCGTCTGTGCAGTGCCTGCCTTAAATTTTTAGAGTGCATCATTTTATTCTTCTTATTGTTCTTCCTTACACTTTTTTTCCTTTTTTCTCTCTTATTTTTATTTTTTTCTTGCTGTTTACCTGTAATAGCTTATAACATTTACCATGTCATTTTCCTCTGATATAATGGCCTAGGCCGCATCTGTGTAAAGTGACTATTCTTATTTCTCTCTCTTGAATAATAAAGTTTAAACTAAACTAATCGATCCATATATTGTTTTTGAAAAGAGCACATGTTTTCATGCTCTTCTTCAGTGAAGAATATACTTATAGGTGTCGAAATTATATCTTCTTCCTTATTTCGACACATCCATTGAAATACATGACATTTTAATAAATTTGTAGAAAAAAAGATGTGAACGCTACCCGAAAGTCTAAATTATCATATACTCTTAGAACAAACAATGTTCCATACACTCAGGACTACTACTGGTAAAAGACTGAACTAACACCAGTAAAGTTGATCGCTGACTTTCACATAAAACTTTGTAAGCACTGTTTTTTGTTACAGAAGGGAATGTGTTGAATTTTAGCTCGTTACTGACTCACTAAAGTAGTCGCTGTATAAAAAGTTTTAACAATTAGATGAGAAAAACAAAACATAAGAAACCTAAAAACTTACTGTTGAAATTAGAGCACTCTATATGTCATATATTAACATCATATCGTTCTTTTCCATTCTCTTCTTTTATGTAGGAAAAACACTTCTTCATCTCCATCGTTTCTTACTTTTCTTTTCTTTTCTTTTTTCATTTCTGTGAATAAACAAATGTATTGAAATATAGAAAGCACTTGGAGCGATTCAAGCGATAACAATTTTAAGGGCGTCGCTACTATGAAGCAACAATATTCATCTACAAAACTCGAGAAAAAAAGATAATACGCATGATAGGCGATCTATAATTCACTCTTTCCGATCGCAATAAAAGCTGCGAGTATATGCGATTTAAGCAGTAGTTTATAAAAGTATTATTCAAGCAAAAAGCAAAGGTATGTCGACTCTTTGAGTAGTCATTTCTTATCGGCTATAAATAATCAATTTTCAAGAAATTACGACTGGAAAATGTATCATCAGAATCCACCACCTGAGGCAGTCCTTGCTGCGTTGCCATCATCTACTGCAATGTATGTAACTCATTAGCGCAAGTAGGGGTAAAGTAATTAAAATTGTAATTTCTTCTAGAAAAAATCGTAAATGGTTTTCCGCAGTTCCATTAATTGCTTTATGCTGTCTTGGGATATCAGGTTTCCTGTTAGTAGCAACTATTGTTTTAGCCTTGATACCTGTGTATCTACCAAAACGTGCTAGTGGAACAGTGGTATTTGAAGCTAATCAAAGTAAGTCGAGACTATATATTTCTTATGATGGGTTGTAAACATCCTCGACAGATTTGCGCGTCTCGTAGGGGCATTCGTCTCTCCAACTGATATTATAGAATATATCGAAAAACAGAACGAACAGTGTTCGTGCTGTATCTCTTCATAAAAAGATTAAAGTTATGCCCGTTTTCTGATGTCTTTTCCCAACACCTGCAGAACAAGAAGACTTTTTTCAGTCCTCATTTTTTTAATTCGTCCCCAAAAGCGAGAAAAAACCATGAAACGTGCATCGGAACCCCGTTCAGAGTTTTGAACATCATTCCGATTCTGTTCAAAACTGATCAACTTCTGATTCAACTTTTCGACTTTTCGACTTTCAGATTTCTTAGACTCTCTTAGAGTTTTAGATTTCTAGATTTCTTCGACTTTTAGACTAGTTAGGCTTTTAGATTTCATAGACTTTTCGGCTTTAGGATTTACCAGTCTGTTAGACTTTTTGATTCGTCAGTGTATTAGAGTTCTAGGCTTTCAGATTGCTTCAACGATTAAACCTTTAGACTTCCAGATTTCTCAGACTTTTGCACTTCTAGATTTTCTAGACTTTTAGTCATGTTCGGCTTTTAGATCTCTCAGTCTATTAGATCTTTTGCCTTTAACACTCTTCAATTTCTTAGGCTTTTAGATTTTATAGAGCTTTGGGCTTTTAGACTACAAAAATTTAATAGTGAAAGTCTAAACGTATGAGAGGTGTATCCTAGAAATTATTAAAAAGAAGAATTTTTGTCCTAAAAATGGCATGCTTTCGACCGAACATTTACAGCTTGACCATAGATTTGGTATCACTATCATGACTATAGATAACTTAAAGTCTAAAAGTCAAATTGGTCTATAAGCCTAAGAAGTGTAAGAAGACTAAAAGTCCAAGAAATGTAAGAGGCTAAGAAGCCTGAGAAGTCGAATCGTGTAAGAAAAAGTCTTAGAAGTCTAACAGTCTAAGGCGTCTGGAAGTCTAAGTACTCTAAAAGTCTTAAAGAAAATCTAATAGTCTTAAAGTCTCAGAAGTGTCGGAAGTCTAAGAAACCTGAAAGTATCAATGTTTAGGTAGTCTGAAAGTCGAAGAAGTCTAGGAAGTCTTAGAAGTCAAAAAATCTAAGAAATCTAAAAGTCTGAGAAGTGAAAGAAGTCTAAACGTGTAAGAAGCCTATGCTAGAAGAATGATTTTTGTGCCCTAAAAATGCCATGTTTTCTATGAAACACTTACAGTTTCTTGATAAGCATAGAGTCGGTATCACTATCATTACTATGGATAGCTAAAAGTCTAAGAAATCTAAAAGTCGGAGAAGTCTGAGATGCCTAAAAGTGTAAGAAGTCTAAAAGTGTAGGAAGTCTAGGCGCCTAAGTCTAAGAAATCTATTAGTGTTAAAGTCTAAGAAGTCTAAAGGTCGAAGAAGTCTAGAGGTCTAGAAGTTCTAAAAGTCTAAAAGTTGAAGAAGTCTATAAGCCGAAAAAGTCTAACAAGTCTGAAGGTCTGTAAGTCTAGGAAATGTAAAACTCGAAGCAGCCTAAGAGTCTATAGGTCTGATGAGTGCTGATGTGAATTGATCCTTTCTGACGGAGATGGTATGACCTTCATCGAGCGGATGTTTCGAGAAGGTGTAACATTAATTCCATGTGATAGTTAAATTTCCGGTCGAAATGACTTGGATATTTCTCAGCGCGATGAGTGAAAAAAGTGGGGATCGCAATACACTATTCATGTTTGAAACGGAAAAAAGGTGGAAATGCGAATTTTCTCTCCTATTCTGAAAATCAAGATACGCTTTTCATAATTTTATAAACTTTCTTTAGCATCATTGGAATTTTATCTGCTATATATGGTAATTAATGACGGAACAAAACGAGAAATACGTGAAAAACGTGGATATTTTGATGATCCAAAAACTAGTTCTACACAACAAGAACAAGAGCAGACAGCCGCACAAGTGAGTTACCGGAGTAGAGATTGATTGTTAGAAGTTGAGTTAAAACACATTCCACGAGTTCATCGAGCAGCTTGCTACAGAACGCAAAACACGAAAAAATGTAACATCTCTTTTTCATTCGACTCTCCATCCAATTTTAGGGGTAC